CAACAGTAACAACAAAGAACAATTACAGATTATCTGGAAGGTCATTGTTAGGCAATCCTCCGTCCCCATTCTTCGCCTCTTCATGCCCTCCCTTGCCTCCATTCGCCCCCACCCCAGCACAAACATTAAATTATGTTTAACAGGAATCTTTTCTCCCATCCACCTGTCCAGAAGAGCATCCTGGACAGCTGGAGGCAGGAAGCCACAGGAGGATTGTGGCTGCATTCCCCTTCCAGTTCCAGGTATTGTCCTGCAAAGGCACAATTGATCAGAGCAAAGGGAGCCCTAGGAACCCACCATTAACTTAGCTTTGACCGACCTGCTCTGTTGCCTCGGTCTGCTCATTCACAACGGGGCAAGTCTGGGGTCGGGGGAAGCACCCGGCAAAGCTTTCCTAACTCATGCCCTACCAGGCTTTGGGCTCGTTGGCTGAAAGTTCAGCCTCTGCAAGCCAAGGGCCTTGGTCTCCTCTTGTTCTGCCTTTCTGTCACAGTCTGCATGGCTTTTCACAGCTACAGTGCAAGCTGGAAAGGCCGAGTGAGGCTGCAGGGTGCCACGGCCTGAGAGACAGCGTGTCTCACACACGCATGAACTTCCCCGGGTTTCTGGGGATGCTGAAACAGATGAGCAGGCAGGCATATAAATCTCTGCTGCATGCATGCTCAGGTGGACTTGTGGCTCCCTATCATGTTCATCTTCCCAGAGCCACGTGAGGCAGAAGAAAATTTCCTACTCATTTTTCCTACTCATTTTCCTACATTAGCAAGGCGAGAAAAACAGCAGCATTGCAGCTACTCCTGCAAGGAGAAACCAGGAGGCTAAGCTGGGGTTTGCAGGCTGAGATCTGGATGAACACAAGAGAGATTCCTTTCTTTTCAAATGCTTTGACTCAAATTCAGTATTCCCTGGAGGAATGTTGTAATGTTCTTACCACTCAGCCCTTACGCACCTAGCAAGACCATTCAGGCAGCAGCGGGAAAAGCAAGGCTGCGTGCAGGACTCGAGTCAGCTCCAACCCACAAACCCCAGCTACGCTGCGTGGACGGGGCCTGTGTCCGCCCGCGCACAGCCTCCAGCTACCCAAGGCCCACCCTAGGGAGCCCGCCTGAACGTGGCCTGGTGGCACCCACCAACACCACGTTCAGGGGCTCCAAGCTTTGTCCTGGGGGGAGAGAACTGGGAGCTGCGTGGATTTTGGCAAGCAGAAATGGACGTGGGAGAGTGACTGTCCCCAGACTCGGAGCTCACAAACCTGAGAGTGAGAGGCAACCCCAGGACAGACAACTGGTTTCTGCTGCTTCTTGCCTATGATCCACTGCTAACTGGGAATCCTCTCCCCCGTGGAGCCCCAGGAAGGCCCCTCCGCAGGAAGGGCACAGTCACAGACCGGGGAACAGCGGGCTGCTAGCTCTGCTTGGCAAATTCAGGCCACTGGCAGTAACGTAACCACAAGGAAAGGGGGCACTTTCCCAAGGATGGCAGTGGCTCTGGAGACCGGATCCCCATGAGGGACAGGTTTCCCATCAGCACAGACCCTTAACGCACTTCTGCAGCGCGGCTGTTGCCCCCACCCCTGCTCCCGCTGTCGTGGGACCGTCGCGGGTCACCCCCGCGGGAGGAAGAGGAGGCTCCAGCAAAGCCGTCAGCTCCCCGCCGGGGCCTGCCTCACCTTGTTTCCCAGTAGCATGAGGACCACGTCTTGCTGCGCGTATTCATGAATCTCTGTCAGCCAAGCCTACGAGGGAAGCAACCAGAGAGACCACGCGGCGCGTCAGCAACAGCTCCGGCAGGAGGGTGCCGGGAGGGAAGCAGGCTGCAGCGGGGCCGGTTCCTCCCAGGCCACCAGACAACTTCCACGGAAACGCCACCATAACCAAGCAACGTGGGGGGCTCTGCCCTCATTTTGCTTGGAGAAGGGGAGGAAATAGCGGGGAGTTAGAGGTGAAAGGGCAAACCCAGCTCAGAAATTCAGCTGTGCGTGGCAGGACCTGCAGGGAGGGAGCAGCCAGCTCCCACAGATCACCTGCAAGTCAGCGGTGCCCTGGCGAGAGGGGGTGCCGTGGCCAAACAAGCTGTGAGCAGTTAAAAAACAACCTTATTTTTTTAGGATGAGAAATCCCCCACAAACCAGCCAGCCGTGCCGGTGACTTGGTCCCAGCTGGCTGCAGGGCCCAGGCCGAGCGGGCACCCCAGGGCGCCGCCGGGCCCCGAGGGACCTGCTTTTCTGAGCAAACCCGGCATCCCACGTCAGCAGCTGAACGCGTCCCGATTTTCCAGGATGACGGCAGCCTTTCGACGCTGCTGCACGCTCAGGCTGACCGCAGCCGCTCGCAGGGCTTTATCCCTCGCCCCTCGGTCGGGCGCTACGTAAGCCTGCTCAGCACTGCTCCTCTTTGCCTGCCGTGAGGCCTGAACTCCCATCTCACGCTCTTGGAAAGCTTTGTTTTGGGGGAAAATCACCATCATAACGAGAGAACAAAACACGTGCCCAAATCCCCACCCCACAAGTGAGGTGGAGGGCGTCCTCCCTGGGCCGGGCTGCAGCTGGTGAGCTCTGCCAGCGTGAGCCATCCTCCCGGCACCACGGCAGCGCAGCGTTACCACCTTATCAGCTCTGCACCCCTCACTGCGGCTGCTTCTGAAATGCACTTGCTCCGCTGTTATTTAAAACCCCTCCGTTTCTGGATAGGCCCTGGCTGAGCAGCGGCCGTAACTGCTTTTCATTCGGCACCGCTGCAGCGCTGCCGAGCCCAGGCCTCCACCAGAAACCGGGAGAGCCGAAAGGCCAAGGGTGCAGCAGGGAAACGAGAGCCCGTCCCGCAGCCGAGCGGCCGCTGCCTTTCAGAGACCTGGAGACGGCCGGCCTTTGCCAATGCTGCTCGTTTTCTATCATTTTACCACAACCATCCAGCAAATGCCAAGCGTTTCCTCCCCGCGGTACCGCAGCCCCCCGTCCTGCCTCCGAACACGAACGCTGCGGCACACGGAGCACCAGGCAGGCTCCTCTCCCAGGGAGCTCCTCGCTCCACAGCATCCTTAATTAAACCCCAACAAGCCAGACAAGTAAGAGACGATTTAGGACTAGATCCCGACAACACACACAGGGACTGCTGGAAGGAGTCTCACCACCAGGCTAGCAAGGTCCCAGCACGGTCTGTAACAGGAAGAGACAAGCGAAACCGCCCTGATGCACAGCGGCTGCCCCCAGCCCAGGTCCAGGCTCCGCGCAGACGGAAAACGCGGTCGTTGGCCAATGCCCAGTCCCGCGCGCTCGCCCAGCGGGCATGGCCGGCGCTGACAGCCCG